AACCAGATAGGGGTTAGTACCTATCAAGATATTTATCATCCGGAGGATCAGCAAGGAGCAAGATTCGAAGGATAGCCGGCAAAGGGTCAACTCCTTCCCTACCAACTAATTATGTCGGCATATTAAAACCAACAAATTAGTTAGGCAGGTGAAGGGGGGCAGCCGTAGACCCCTAATTTTGCCCGCCTCTCAAAATAAAAGATAGAGGAACTTCGCCCGAAGATGGAGTTCATCTCGGTTTCCCAAAAATTGAGGAAACCTCCCGCAACAACATGGAATTCGCTTATATGCACGATAAAGACTAAAGAAGACCTCTCATAATAAGACTGAGTTCAATCATCCACACAAAGGAGACTTCCTACACGAAGATAAAGCTTCAACGGACACATATCGGCATCAACCGACGTCCAAAACAGTACAAGGAAAGCTTCCCGAGTCCCGAAACGCGCGAACCGTCCGTAACAGTCAAGACGGCCGTCCCAAAGTTGGGACGGCCGTCCCAACCTGTCCCAGCCAGTTGGGACGCGTGTCCCGAAGTTGGGACGGCCGTCCCGAGTCCTGGCTCAAGTGGGACGGCCGTCCCGGTCCCCGTGGGGTCCCAGCCTGTGTAATTTTGCCATTTGGGACGGCCGTCCCAGTCCGGACGGCCGTCCCAGTCCGCACGGTGGTCCCGAAGTGCGCCCGCTGCGAAAACTATAAATAGGAGGCTCATTTGTCACTTTTTCACACCACAGACACTCCGCAGAGCTCGAAACACTTTCTAAAACTCGGAGCACTTGTCTATTTCTTTCTTTCTCTTGAATGATCTTTCCGATTGCCTTAAATAGGTAACAATCGGTTAAGGAATTATATTCCGGCATTCGATTCTTCTTTAAATTTTTAGTGGGGTCGATCTTGTATTGGTGAGGAGAGTCTCGTGTAGAGAGAGGGGTTGCCAAAACGCATCCTCACAGTTCGAGACTCTCAATATCAAGCTTGCTACGGAGGTTCTTTTCAATTCTCTTCTCTTTTATTGCTTTATTTATTGTTTTATTTAGCTTTATTTATGCCATGTAGAATAAAATCATGTAGATAGCTATTTTGTCTCTTTTATTGTTTTATTTAGCTTTATTCATCATTTTATGCATGCAATATAGAATAAAATCATGTAGATAGCCATTTAATATTATAGGGTAATCGCGTAATTTCTCGTAGTCTTTACTTAAATGAATTAATCTGTCATAGGGAACCCAAAAGGGGCGTTGTGGGGTGCTAACACCTTCCCCACACGTAACTAACTCCCTTACCCAACTCTGGTTATAATGGCCAAGTCTGGTTTTTATTAAAATCAATGCCTTTTCATCCTTTTCCAATGTTTATGGTTAAAATATTGGTGGCGACTCCATAAGAACCCCTTTTCAAAAACCTTGCTTTTTCAATGTTGAAGCAATGAACATATTTTAAAACAAATACGCGAGTCTAAACCATCTTTCGCGACCGCTCGCATAAACGTTCGAGACGTCCCCCGGACGTCGAAAGGGATGGCGGCGACAATTACAAGCGCCAATAGTGAAGAGTTGCAGGCTCAAGTCGATGCCTTGACCCAAAGGATAAAAATCATGGGAGCCTAGATGAGGGCCCTTGAAGAAAGAGAGCAAGAATCTATCCTCACCATAGATGGTCTACAAAGGCAGTGCAAGAAAAAGGATCATGAAATAGAGCGCCTCAAGGATCATTGTGCTGACTCCAACGAGCAAGCTATCCGAGCATCCAAAACTGCCAGAACTAGCTCGGATAGTCAAATTCAGGAGATAACCACCAAATCTGCACACCTTGAGGCCGAATCAGCAAAACAGGCTCAGACGATCAAGGAATTATTGCAAGAACTCACCAAGACTCGGTCAGACATACGCCAATAGCGAGAGGCGAACCAGAGACTTAATAAAAGTCTCGCTGAGCTACGTTACAAAGAAAGAGACGGGCTAGCTCAGTATGGCCAGGTACTACAAGAGAAAGACCGAGCCGTCGCAAAACTCGACGAACTGCAAGCCTTGGTCATCCATCAAGAGGCGAAGATCAAAGAGGCTAAAAAATATAGCGAAGATATGAGCCAGGCGGTCCAAAAGCAAAGCGAAGCACTTGCTCGTCACATCCGGGAAGCCGAAAGAGAACTACATAGAGATCAGGACCCGCCTGTGGGTTTCTTTAGGCTTTTCCGTTTTTGCCAAAAGTTGCTTCGTAGTATGGAGTAGGGGAATGTACACCGTCTGAATGGATAAATGAAATTCTCCTTTATTCCACAATTGTCTACTTGCATGCATGACATTCATTTGCATATTTAATTTCCCCTCCTTCACTTTTAATAAATAAGATAATAAAATGGAAGGATTAACTGACACGTCTTCCAAATCAGAAGAATGGAGAGAAAGCCATTCCTAATAAAGCTTACCCCAACGGTCGACTCACCGCAAGAGGATAATAAGCCCTGACCATTGGTATTCAAGAATAAGGAAGAGGGGGCAAGGACACCAGTGCGACTATTTATGCCACGTCCTTTCCCCTACAAATCGAATAAATCTGTACCGTGGAGATATGGAGAATCTTCACCAATAAAAGAAGAAATAACAAATATAGCCGGCATCGGGGGCATGACCAGAAGTGGAAGAGTCTACTCCCCCAAGGACTCACAAGAAGAGGTCCACAAAAATAAAGGAAAAAATAAGAAGACCGAAGAAGAAAAAGAAGATAAAGAATCCAAGGAGGAGACAGAGGAATTACTCCAGTTCATAAGGCAAAGTGAGTATTCCATTATAGACCAGCTCAATCGCACACCTGCAAAGATTATGCTGTTATCTTTAATAATGAGCTCGGAACCGCATAGAAACGCCCTGCTGAAGGTCTTGAGCGAGGCGCATGTACCTCATACCATATCCCAAGAAACGGTTGAGAGGATCGTCGGTCACATCACGACAAGCGATCGCCTCACCTTCACAGAGGAAGAACTCCCCCTCGAGGGGTCAAACCACAACAAGCCCTTGCATATCTCGGTTAAATGCAAGGAGTACCTCATCGCCAAAGTTCTTGTGGATAACAGGTCATCCTTGAACGTGATGCCCAAGTGCACACTTGACAAGTTGACTATCCAAGGAACCCGTCTGCGCCCAAGCAGCACCATCGTTCGAGCCTTCGACGGATCAAAACGTGAAGTAGTGGGAGAAGTTAATTTGCCAATCCAAGTTGGACCCACTATCTTCAACATCGATTTCCATGTAATGGATATTACTCCAGCATATAGTTGTCTCCTCGGCAGGCCTTGGATTCATGACGCTAAGGCAGTACCTTCAACGCTCCACCAAAAAGTCAAGTTCATAGTGGATGACAAGTTGGTCACGGTCCAAGCAGAAGATGACATCTTGATCAGTGGACCATCTACCCAACCTTATGTGGATGCGGCTGAAGAGGCCCTTGAAATATCTTTTCAAGCGCTCAAAATTGCCAATATAGAGCAACTTCCCAAAAACACAAAGGTAGCCCGCATGATGTTGAAGCATGGCTACCATCCTGGGCAAGGACTGGGGGCAGATTCCCAAGGCATGAGGGAAACCCCAGAATTCAAAGACAATCCTTTCAAGCATGGCCTAGGATATGACCCTACTAAGGGCCGAGCGGAAAGAAGAAATGGGAAGTCTCCCCTCTGCACACTCAAGCAAATTTTCTGAAGTGGAGGGGTGCAAGCGTCAAGAGCTACCCTAGTCATTAGGAGATCTTTTTCTTCATTTAAGGGATGTAAACCCCATGATTGTTAGAGATTATCCCCCGGGGCTAGCCCGACCCCCGGGCATTTTAGGGCACATATTCCCTTATTAATTAATAAAGAATACTTCTTACTATCTGCTTCTCTTCTTTCTATTTTCGACTAGACCACATAATAACCCTGTCTAAGTAAACGAAAAAAAAGGGGAAGAAGAATAAAAAGCGCATTCAAATAATCAACATTTACCATTGCTATTGCCATCAAGCTAGTTGATTAGAAGCACAAAAAAATAAGACTTTACCTCACCCTAAAAGAAAGTCATGCTTCGCCAATATTGTGAACAAAAAATAAAGACACAAAAAAGAAAAGCCCATAGAAGCCAAAGGCCAAAAAGAAAAAAGGGCAGAATACCCGGTAGGAAGCCCACAAAGGGGGCTACGCAAAAGATAGGGTCAACTCGGTAGGATACCCGAACAACAATAAAGGGTAGCCTAGGCAAAAGTTATGGTTACAAAATAAGATCCGCTAGGATTCCCTAAAAAAATACCAAAAGAAGGAACCTAGACAAAAGATAGGGCCAAAACACAGTATCCTAGTTCAAAAACCCGAAGGGCGATCTAGGTAAATCAGCTAGCCGTCAAAGGCAATGGAAATAGAACTAAAAGGCGCAAATACAAAAAAGGGGGAAAAGCATTTGCTTAGACGAAACCTAAACACCTAAGCCCAACCCTAAGCCAGCCAGGCTTACAAAAACCACTTTCTAAATAAAAATCAACCTTCCAAAACACAAGCCATTGATTTTTACCTCTTTACTTCTTTTCTCTTGACCCTCACAACAATATTCTAATAATTAATTTGGGAATATGGAGGCGTATAGTCAACAAGAGGATTGAAACCCCTAGAGTGGAGAAAAAGAAACACTACATGGCAAAGAGTGCTCTACAAAAAAAGAGAGAGAAGAAGAACAGAAAAAAACAGAAAGAGATTATCTTTCAGTCACAAGAAGTCCGACATGGTACAGCCAAGAGTAAGCACGACAAATCAGAGGGCATTCGGCGCAACCAGACACATCAGTTAAAACCTTCTGAAAAATTAACTAAAGTAGGCATTATAGGACATCAAACAGAAACACATTGCATGCATAAAATGTTTTTGAACCAGGTCCTATTTTCTCGGTCAAAAAAAAAAAAAAACCTGAAAATTTGAAACGACCGTCTGGGATTTCCAGATCGCCGTCTCGACCTACGAGACCGGCGTCTCGACTTAGGTAAAATCGAGACGGCTGTCTCGTTTGGACCCAAAGTCGAGACTGCCGTCTCGAGAACCCAAACGGCCGTCTCGGCCTGCGAAAAACCGAGACCGCCGTCTCGAATTCCCAGACGGCGATCTCGATCTGGATTTTCCCCTTATATATAGGGGTGCGATGGGGAGGGGTTCCTCACAACTCTCTGCACTCCAGAACCCTCCAACTCTCAGATCTACAACTTCCAAGCTCTTCCGGGTCAATATGTTCCGTGGAAACCCCTCCAAGAAGAGAAGACACACTGCTGGTGCCAGCAGTTCTTCGGCACCAGCCCCTCAAGACCCTACTCAGCTGTCGCCGCAGCACCGGGCCCGCCTTGAGCACATCCGGGATTATTCTTGGCACCCCATGTTCAGACTGGACTTCGGCATCCTCACCGAGTTCAGGTGGGAAGACGATGTCCGGGCCCACATAGACAGCATTGGGTGGGGATTCTTGCTGCAGCCTCCACCTACCCATGTGTACCCTCAAGCGGTACTGGAGTTCTTGGCCTCCATCTCCTACGCCGAGGCTCCCTCCATGGTCCCGGGCCTGCCACCCACCAAGATGGTGAATTACTTTATGGGTGGGGAATACCGGACTACCACCCTTGACGAATTCAATGTGAGCATTGGATTCGTCCGACCCGAGGACGTGCTCACTCGGGGATACCGAGAGGCCATCTGCAGCCGCCCCGCCAGCCTCACAGCCGCCGAGATGTGGTAGGAACTCACCAGGGTGCCTACGCTACCCACGCTAATGAAGGGTTCTACGCTCCCTCCAGCCCTCCGAATTTGCCACAAGCTACTGGCTGGGACTGTCCACGGGAAGAAGGAGAGTCAGGGTAAGGTAACCCTCCCAGACCTCTTTGTACTTTATTGCATGAGCCAGAGGCAGCGCTGTAACCCTGGCTACTTTTTCCTGAGGGCCCTTAAGGACTTCGGGAGCAGACCAGTGGGAGCCATCCTCGTGGCTCCTCTTATCACTCCCCTAGCAGAGAAATGGGGATGCGCCGGCTGAGAAGAACTGGCCCCTAGCCTCCGATCTGAATCCATCAACGGATCGATCCTGGTCAGCATGGGGATGCTAATGCACCGAGGGACCCAGTTGGTCCTTCATCCCTCCCTAGACTTCGCGCTGGACCTCCAGGACATCGTGGCAATGCACGATCTTCCGACACCTCCCGATTTCCAACAGGCTCAACAACACCCCCCGCAATACACAGATGACTTTGTTGGCGTAAACCGCAATAGAATTCGACAACCAAGAGTCGAACACAAACAAAGACTGCCCGACCAACCAGCAAGAGTCGGGAGATCATCACCACAAAAACAAAAATAAATAACAAAGAATCCTCAGTAAACAAAGCAAGCTAGATGAACACCCACAAAATCCCCGGCGCAGACTGGACAACAATATCTCCAAAGAAGACCAACAAAAAGTATATCTCAACCGGTGCATGGGCCACCTGAACAATAAGTCGCCACTACCACCAGTCCTACACAGTGGACTGTACCAGCCTGATAGGGGGTTCATACCTATCAACCTGCACACGCGGTGCGCCTGATCTGCGCTCGAGCCAGATCAGTAAGTCGCAAAACCACCAGCCTGATGGGGGGTTCATACCCATCCAGTTCGACACACAGCGGACTGCAACTACCAGCCTGATGGGGGGTTCATACCCATCAACCGAAGGATCGGCTACCGTCAGAAGGAGTATCCTGAGGTTCTACCACGTGTTCACCGAAGGGATTGGCTACCGTCGGAAGGAATATCCTGGAAGTGCACGAACACAAGTTTTCCCCAGAAGATCAACCGCTGCAAGACGGAACATCCAAAGGGTAACCGGGCAAGAGGGTCAAACTCCTTTACCTTCCTGTCGATCAGTCTGGCACAACAAGCCAACAGCCGACTAGTCAGGTAAAGGGGGGGGCAGCTGTAGACCCCAAATCTTGCCCGGTCTCACAATAAAGATCAGAAGACCTCCTTTTCGAAGATGGACGAAGCCTAAGAAGCCACTAGGAGAGACAATTAGGCCCCATACTAGGATAGGAGGGATTTTTGGCACAAAAATAAGGATTTTCTCCTTTTGGGGTCGAGACCGCCGTCTCGTTTGGCGAGACGGCCGTCTCGCCACTCGCGAAAGGCGAGACCGTCGTCTCGCCACCTGTGAAAGGCGAGACCGCCGTCTCGCCATTCCTACAAGGCGAGAGGGCCGTCTGGAATGTCGAGACGGTCGTCTCGACCTTGTCAGACGAGACGGCCGTCTCGACCTGACAGGCGCGAATCCCTATAAAGAGGGCCTCCCTTCCCCTCATTTCACACAGTTTTTTCACTCTCTCTCTAGTCACATCAAGAGTTTCTCTCTCTAGAATCCCTCCAACGCATTTCCGGAGCTTCTGAGTGTCTTTAGAGCGTTTTTAGAGCGTTTCGAGAGGTTTTCGACACCATGTAGAGTGAAGGGCTGCCGCAAAGCACCCTATTTTTAAAGAATTAAATAAAAAGCTTGCTTCGGAGTTCTCTACTCTCTTTCTCTACCTTTTACTACTTTATTTAAATTATGCAATAGACATTAGGGCCATGTAGTCGTGATCTTTAAATTCCGCAAAATAAAAGGGCAAAAATGTATTTTTCCGGTTTATTTATCAACAAAATAGTTGGCTTATCATAGGGAACCCGAAAGGGGCGTCGTAAAGGAACTAACACTTCCTTTACGCGTAACTAACTCCCTTACCCAACTTTGGTTCTAACGACCAAAGTTGGTTTTTTCGAAAACCAACGCCTTTTAAACTCCTTTTCCGATGTTTCGGTAAAAACATCGGTGGCGACTCCAGAGAACCCTCAAAACTAGCTCTTGGATTAGCTCGGTTATCGGACAATCCAAGAGCACCCTTTCGAAAACCTCTCCCTCAGGTTCAGCCCGGTTATCGGACAACCTAAAGGCATTGTAACCACCAATAAAAAACGCGAAAATCAAGAGAGTCGGAAACCATCGCGTCGCTCCGTCCGCCCTCATTTTGACGGCGGCGACACATATCAGCTGGGAGTTGTTGTGCTCAAAGTATCTACCTTAAACAACAATTGAAAGATTATGGAGTATTTCTCAACACGGTACCTCTGGTTTGTGATAATACTAGTGCAATTAATCTAACTAAGAATCCTATTCAACACTCTAGAACTAAGCATATTGAAATTAGACATCACTTTATTAGAGAAAATGTATCTAGGGGTGATTGTGAAATTTTATTCATTGAAACTGAAAAACAATTAGCTGACTTGTTCACCAAACCACTCCCTAGAGATAGACTTAATATGCTTAGAACTGAATTAGGAATTCTGGATATATCTAGTATTGAATAATTGATTCTGTATTATGATACTGTTCTTTTTAACAGGTTGATAACATGTTCAATCGATTAAATTGACTGAAAATTCTGAAATTATGTGTTTTAATCGATTGAAATTGTGAAATAATTTGTTGATTTTCTGATTCTCAATCTCTGTTCATGATGTATTACCAGTTTAATCGATTAAATAAGTTTTTAATCGATTTATTTCAATAACTTTGTTGCTCTGCATGTGTTTCTTTTACAAATCAATCGATTTAATTCACTTTTGATGCTCTGCATGTTCTTCTTTTACAAATCAATCGATTCAATCGATTTATTTTACTTATGATGATCTGCATCTATATCAGTAATTGAAAATCAATTGATTTTATGGAAAATCAATTGGTTAATTTTTTTTGGGTTAGTAGTATATGCGTTGCCTCTAATAACTTACTGCAGATTGGGATGAGTGCCTTTAGAACTGGGAACAACTTCAGCTACTTTCTTAAATGTCATAGTTATCCAATAAAAGCTGAATGATTGTGATTGGAAATTAGATGTGAAGGTAATTGAATATCACAGTAACAATTCTCTTTCTCTCTCTCTGCCTTTACCATCTCTGACGCATGGAGCAGAAAAGTAGTAATTCACAAAGAGACAAAACTTGACTATTCAAAGTAGATGAAGAGTCTCATTTCCTCTTAGCATGTAATATTGATTCGAAAATCTTGTTCTCTCTCTTTGAAATTCTCTCTTCTCTGTTTTTCGGTTCATCTCTCAAAACAAAATGTTGAAGCGCACCAAATCCGGGAGGAAGAAGTTCAACAAAGGAGAATCCTCAGGTGCTGTGCAAGGAACCTCAGGAGGAAGGCGGATTGAATCCTGGTTCAATGGGAACCAAGAAAAGATGGACTTATTCATTCACGAAATGAGCAGGAAACAAATTAATATTCCCAAAGTTCTGAAATTCTCGTGGTTGGATGCTGAAGGATTCAGAGGTGTTCGGAAGCTGCTGCAACACCAGAAGCTTCAGAAGTTCCTTAAGATCAATGGAGAATTGGCTGAAACCATTCGCCCCACAAATGAAGTTAACAACTCCATCCTTCATAAAATGGGATTCATCAAGATTGATGGTGAATGGATTTCGAAAGAAGAAGCTGGGAGAGAAGATGAAGATGAAGAAGAAGAGGAAGAAGCTGTGAATAGTGGTGATCCGAGTACTGCTGAAGCACGGCAAACAAATCCTATGGAAGATGTCATAGAAGAACAGTCTCCATTGGAAATGATTCCTTATATTGCACAACCTGACCGTGGCACGCCTCTTTCACAATTCGAACGGGCTATGATGCGTCAAATGAATGAAATGCAAACAAATCAGAGAAGGCACATGGAGATGACATTTGCTCTGCAAACTCGTCAGCATCGACTCTATGAAGACTCCATTGCCAGATTTCAGCATATTGATAATCAACTGGAGGATATCTTCAACAGAATTGGAGACCTCCAATTCAATCAGGGTCCCTGGGATGGTGATGAATGAAGTTTTGTGTCAATGCATTTGTTCACTTGTTTCTTTTTTTTTTTTTGGTACCTACATGGTACTTCCGGACTCGTAATTAAAACACTCGTTTGATGAAGTCAAATAGGGGAGAAGTATTTTGCTTATAACCGACACTACACACACATCACAAAATCATATATGTCTCTCGTTACGTTATTTCTTTGTGCAGGTGCAGTGGTTATTTGTCTCCATCAAATAGGGGGAGATTGAAGCACTTGTTGGATTTGATGAA